ATAGCAAGGATAGATGACATGGAAGGGGGAGAATGGAGAAAACAGGCTAGAAGGGTGTCCGTAAGCCGGAACGGGTTTTATGCCTGTCCCGGATTCAGGACAGGAGAAATGAGAAAAACTTGTGGAGAAATAGATGCCCTGTTTTGTGCTAGTTGGTCCTGTATAACTACTAATGATGGAGAATGGAAATGGGCCACGAAACCCTGGTATATAACCATGTCCTTTGTCCAGCGCTGCACCAGAACCCAATATTCCAAAACTTGCAATCTGGTCCGCATCAAGTTTGAAGATGCAGCAAAATCTGATAACCGTTGGATATCCGGGTTAACATGGGGCCTATATTTATACCAAAAGCCACTGTATGGAATCCCTATCCAAATCAAATTAATAGTCAACCCTATCACAGCCCCTGTCGCAGTAGGACCAAACCAAGTTTTATCAGAAACAAGGAAGCCCCTGGTTCCTGCACCGAGAGAGCCCCAACCAAGAGCTCCTAAAAGCACTTCCCCGCCCTTAATCTCCACCTCCTCTAAATACACACCCTCAGCCCAAAATGTCACCCGCGGGCCCCTTGACCTGGGAATAGGTGACAGGCTCCTAAATCTCATAAAGGGCTCCTATTTCGCTTTAAACCAGACAAAGCCAGAATTTACCTCCTCTTGCTGGCTATGTCTGGCAACAGGCCCCCCTTACTATGAAGGCATCGCCTCCACTAATAATTTCACTAACTCTGCCAATCCTACTGGATGCGTGTGGGAACGACAAAGAAAACTAACCCTGGCTGAGGTTTCTGGGTCGGGAACCTGCATAGGCCAAGTGCCCCCTAGTCATCAGCATCTTTGTAATGTAACCTTGACAGTACCCAGCTCCAATCACTATTTGGTCCCCTCCGAGATGGACTGGTGGGCTTGCAACACTGGGCTCACCCCCTGTGTATCCACAGCCGTTTTTAGCAGTGGCACCCACTATTGCGTATGGGTACAAGTTGTTCCCCGAGTATACTATCACTCTGGAGACTCCTTTGATCTCCGGTATGAGCAAAAAACTCATACTAGACCAAAGAGAGAACCTATCTCCCTCACCCTCGCCGTCATGTTAGGAATTGGGGTAGCGGCTGGAGTTGGGACCGGGACAGCAGCCCTAGTGCATGGTAACCATCATCTGCAACAACTTAGAGTAGCCATAGATGAAGACCTTAGAGCCATAGAACAATCTATCACAAAACTTGAAGAGTCCTTGACTTCTCTGTCTGAAGTTGTATTACAAAACCGACGAGGACTAGAAATTGTCTTTCTGAAAGAGGGCGGGCTCTGTGCAGCCCTGAAAGAGCAATGTTGTTTTTATGCAGATCATTCAGGAGTAGTTAAAGATTCTATGGCAAAACTAAGAGAAAGATTAGACAAGAGAAAAAAAGAGAGAGAATCTCAGCAAAGTTGGTTTGAAAATTGGTACAACCGATCCCCTTGGTTTAGCACCCTAATCTCCACCATCTTAGGACCCCTCATCCTGCTCATGCTCATCTTGACTTTCGGGCCGTGCATACTTAACCGTTTACTCGCCCTTATTAAAAATAGATTAAACATAGTACATGCTATGGTTCTGACCCAACAATACCAGACCCTCAGGACTGAAGAAGAGGCTCAAGATTGAGCCTCTAACACAAAAAGAGGAGGGAATGAAACTAGGCCTCATAATTCCTAAGCCTCATAAAATTTAGAAAGCTTGGCCATCATGAAACTTAAACCCCAGATGGCCACGGATAGCCCCCCGATGTTCCCAGAACCCAAACAGAAAGACAATTCCGGGAAATAGCCTCATGGGGTCCCACCCTGATAGCCTCATGGGGTCCCACCCTGACTCAATGTCCCCGATGTTCCTGGAATCAGCAATTCCAGGAAAGAACCTCCTAAGGTCCCGCCCCAACCAATCAGAACAAGATACCTTGCTCAGGCCATAGACAGACCCAATTACCACGCGCCTAAAGCTTTGTTTGAATTTCACGCCCTAAGCTGTGTTTGAACTTGTGTTTGCCTATATAAACAACCTGTAACAAGCACTCGGGGTCCCAGGGCCAACTTAGAGCTTGGGACCCTAGCGCGCTGGTAATAAATAACCCTCTGCTGTGAATCTCGTGTCGGTGATCCTTCGCGGCGACCCCTGCCCAGGAGGGAATCGACAGTTCGGTTCCAACACTACCACACAGTATTCTTTCCATCTTCACAGAAATGCAGGGCAATTTCTGCAGATCTGAGGATTTCACTTTGGGTTTGGCATCAAATCTTTGAGCTGCTCAGCTACAAATTCATGAAGCACATTTTTCATACTGCAGAGCTCAAAGGGAGACCAGAGCATGAAGGGGTGGCCTGCCCCTCCACACCTGTGGGTGTTTCTCGTTAGGTGGAAGGAGAGACTTGAGAAAAGAAATGAGACACAGAGACAAAGTATAGAGAAAGAAAAAGTGGGCCCAGGGGACCGGCACTCAGCATACAGAGGACCCACACTGGCACCCAGTCTCTGAGTTCCCTCAGTATGTATTGATCATTATCTTTACCATCTTAGAAAAGGGAAGTGGCAGGATAATAGGATCATAGTAGAGAGAAGGTCAGCAGTAAGACATATGAATAAAGATCTCTGTGACATGAATACGTTTAAGAAAAGTGCTGTACCTTGATATGCATATGCAAGCATCTCCATAAACGTTTTTAGTGCATAAAGAGCAGCATTGCAGCTAGCACATCCCACCTTCAGTCCTAAGGTGGTTTTCTCCCATCTCAGTAAATAGAACATACAATCGGGTTTTACACCAAGATGTTCCATTGCCCAGGGATGGGCAGGAGACAGATGCTTTTCTCTATCTCAACTGACAAATGAGCTTGAAGAAACAAAGGCTCTTATATTAATCCTCCTCAGCACAGACCCTTCACAGGTGTCAGGCTGGGGGACGATCAGGTCTTTCCCTTCCCATGAGGCCATGTTTCAGAGTGTCGCGTGGGGAGAAACCTTGGACAATACCTAGCTTTCCTAGGCAGAGGTCCCTGTGACCTTCCACAGTGTATGTGTCCCTGGGTACTTAAGAGAATGGTGATGACTTTTCACAAGCATACTGCCTTCAGGCACTTGTTTACCACAGCACACCCTGCATAGCCCCAAATCCATTAAACATTGAGTCACCACAGTACATGTCTCTTGCAAGGACAAGGTTGGGGGTAGGGTTACAGATTAACAGCATCTCAAATGCAGAACAAAATGGAATCTCTTATGTCTACTTCTTTCTATATAGACACAGTAACAGTCTGATCTCTCTTTCTTTTCCCCACAGGAGCACTTGCTTCACTTATAAAAGAAATGGGTCCAGGAAGGCAACAAGAGATGAGATTCCCTCCCGCTGTCTCCACAGGTCACTGCACTGTGTCCAGGGCTTTGATGTCCTTGCAACTCCATCAGGAGGGAAGCTCAGGAAAGAGATAGAAGGAGATCGAGCCTGAAAGGAATGAGGCACATCCCCCATATATCTTCCAACTTCCTGAGCCCAGCACAAACACATTCCTCCATATTTCTCTCAAACTTCAGAAAAACACCACCTAGGAAATCCCCGATAAGGACACAGCGGGAACCAATAAAAAATGCTAAATGTGCTGTAACCGAGAGAATTACCTTGTTCCCCTGTAACTTTCCATATCCTGTTTACATCGGGCTATAAAAAGCAAGCACTGGCATTGTTCGGGGCCCTCTTGTACGCTGTGGAATGGAGGGACCAAGTTCGAACTTGCAGTAAAGATCCTTGCCGCTTGGCTTTGACTCTGGACTCTGGTGGTCTTCTTTAGGGAACAAACGGTCTGGGCATAACAAGCCCTGCCTCTAAGTGGAGGGAGACTTTAGGCACAGGATTAAAGAAAAGTTAGTAGCCAGTGTCTGGAACATCTACATATAAATTGTGTCCACATTCACCTAGGCAGCGCAGGTGTCCCCCGGAGAGGAGTCCAGGGACTGTGGAAGGTTGAGACAGTTTGTGATCAGATGCCTCAGTCTGGGAGAATCCATCCTGTGGTGCATTGTATTAAGTCAATTTTGCAAAGGCAAGATAAGAAGGCCATTTCTCTAATCATTCTGGGTTAGAGATGGTCAAAGATACATTAGGTAAAATTTGTTAGATAGATGTAATACAGTCACTATTACACTAGGCAGGTCATTGTGGTCAGACAGAGAGTCAGTGACCAGCAAATACAGAGGCATCCAACAGACCTAGGAAGTCCTATTCCTTCTGCACCCTGTGTCCAGTTCATCTTCCCAAATGGTGGACAACAGCAGCCAGGGAGCCCCCAGTGTTTGGCAGTGCACCTGCAGGGGTGGCCCCCATAAAGTGGGAACAGCTTCCCCAGAAGCAGGTTTCCTTGGCCTTTTCCTGTCCTCCCAGCTCAAGGTCCCACTGCATGGCCTGGCATGCTCTGATCCTCTCATGTCCCTGCATCTCCAGCCTGTCCTACCCAGAGCTCCAGAAGCCCTGGCTACTGACTGGCTCTGTCACCTTCTGACTTCTCTCCTCCAGACCTTCTCTTCCTTAGCTCCTCCCACATATGCATACCATCTAATAAATCCATTACAGTGTCAAATTTGTAGTGGCTCTGTTTTATTGATGCAAACCTAATGGAGATGTTCTTAACAGAAGTGGTTTCAAGGAACAACCTTTAACGATGGAATTCTAGAAGTGGATCTCTGATCTGTCTAGATTTGTTGTGGAGAAAGACGCTTAAGGAGAGCCCTGAGACCTGGAGGAGGTCAGGTGCTGCAGCTGAAAGGACACAAAGATAGATGTGTACCTCTGGTGGTCTTCTTCGGGGAATAAACGGTCTGGGCATAACACAGCCACAAGAGGAAGCCTTTTCCCAGGTGTGGCCCCCGTGATAGTGATTCCCCATCAATGTCCAAGACTGACCTGAGCCCAGCAATCAAAGGGGTGGGCTTTCTTGCACTTAATGCTAGATCTCTGCACAGAGCGAGGCTCATTCTGTCTGGACCACTTTGGGCCACTTGGGGTTCCAAGGTTCCTGGTGTAGAGAACTCTGCCCAGGGCATCCCTGAGTCTTGGGGAGCGGGAAGGAGGGCAGAGCCTCCCTGTCTTTATGTGCGGAGAGGAGACAGCCTTGTAGTGCTGTGGAGTAACTGCTGCCACAGAAGTACACAGATGTCTGGGAGGAAGCAGCCGACTCCAGCCTGAGCGGGAAATCCTCTGTGTTTGATCTAGAGACATTGTAGCCATTGGGGACTTCTCCTTTGTCAGTGATACCAGCAGCAGCTGAGTAATGAATCAGCCTCAGCCGCATGCCTGGGTCTTGTCGATACCAGGACATGCATTCATGGTTCATATCCTGGGCACACTGCAGTGTCATGCTCTGTCCTGTCTTCAGGACCTGGAATTTTGGGGTCTGATTGACAGCAGCATTCCCTGGACCTGCAGAGAACAAAACTGATGCTGCAGCCCCAATGGGAAGGCACTAGGCCTTTAAATCCATGCAAGGGGCCCTGCCCAGGACCCACCTGCCCACAGGAGAGAAAAGGCCGCACAGCACAGGAGCTCAATGCTCATGGCAGGTGCTACAGGACGGAAGGGTCTTCTGGGTCTGTGTGTTGATAAAAGGGGAACAGGGCTCTCAAGGCAGTCATTCTGAGACGTCATTCTCCCTGCCTGGGCCCTGGAGCCTTCCTGTCAGGAGAGGCCACGCCTCTTCCCCAGTTGGTCAGATCCAAAATCAATGGACTAGTAAACAGCCGAGAATGAGAGGAACACATTTGTCTGAATTGAAATAAGTCTCCAAGATTTTCATGACCTTTTGTAAACCATTTATATTTCAATGCAAATTTTATTTCTTCAATGATATAATTAATATTCTAGTGTTAGTTATCCACATAGTGAGTGGCTCTTCAATAATATAATTAACAATCTACTGTTAGTTATCTACATAGTGCTGTAGTCTAGAGTCTTAGGGAAGCTCCTCATGTCTTCCTGCTGTTTTTGACTCCTGTGTCCCAAATACTCCTTCAAGTATCCTTTTCTCATTTGCTTAATTGACCATAATCCTGTTTAAATTCCTTTGTCTATATTGGTTTTCTCTGTTATCAAGTTTCCAAATCCCAGGGGCAGGCTCATCAACATTGGAGGAGTCGTTTTGCTCTGTTTCTAGTCAATTCACTGACAGATGAGACTCCTGAGAAACCCAGCTGAGCACCTTCAGCTCCACCCAGGGCTCTTGCTTTCCATGTCTGGGGTGAGACCACGGCAGAGAGAACCACCTCATGCTGCTGACTGCCCACTGTGTGTGGATGATGGTGACCACACAGCACTGCCCATGACCTATGGGCACAAAGGTGGCCTGATGTGTGAGGGACTTGGGGAGAGAGGGTGGGCTTTAGGGGAAGGACGAATGCTCTGTTTGTATTTGAGATGTCATGTTTCACAGAAAATATCCCTTTGTGCAGGATGCCTGCCGTTAATTTAGTAATAATTAAATTGAGTAATAAACAAAAAGGAACTCAAATAACATATCTCCTGTTTCCTCCAGGATTTCACAAGCTTTCCCCGGGGTTTTTCCTTGTCTGTTTTCTGAGCTCATCATCTTCTCCTAGACCCAGCCACACCCTTCCCCCAGGCCCCTGTGTCTACTGTACCAAGCAGCAGAGTTTGATTCCTTCTGGCTACCCTCATTTCCATGGCTGCTTAATTACAGGTGGGGTGGGTTTAGGTTGGCACAGGGCAAAACAACGTAAAGGGCATTATTCTTCTTAGCGCTCTGATTCACACTCAAGATTATATGCTTTCTGGTAGAGCCTCACAGTGAAGGGGTGGCCTGCCCCTCCACACCTGTGGGTGTTTCTCCTTAGGTGGAACGAGAGACTTGAGAAAAGAAATGAGACACAAAGTATAGAGAAAGAAAAAGTGGGCCCAGGGGACCGGCGCTCAGCATACAGAGGGCCCAGGCTGGCACCGGTCTCTGAGTTCCCTCAGTATGTATTGATCATTATCTTTACCATCTTGGAAAAGGGAAGTGGCAGGATAATAGGATCATAGTAGGGAGAAGGTCAGCAGTAAGACATATGAATAAAGATCTCTGTGACATGAATAAGTTTAAGGAAAAGCGCTGTGCCTTGATATGCATATACAAACATCTCCATAAACCTCTTTAGTGCATAAAGAGCAGCATTGCTGCTAGCATGTCCCACCTTCAGCCCTAAGGCAGTTTTCTCCCATCTCAGTAAATAGAACATACAATTGGGTTTTACAGCAAGATGTTCCATTGCCCAGGGACGGGCAGGAGACAGATGCTTTTCTCTATCTCAACTGCCAAGAGGCCTTCTTTCCTCTTATACTAGTCCTCCTCAGCACAGACCCTTCACGGGTGTCAGACTGGGGGATGATTAGGTTTTCCCTTCCCACGAGGCCATATTTCAGACTATCACATGGGGGGAAACCTTGGACAATACCTAGCTTTCCTAGGCAGAGGTCCCTGAAACCTTCCACAGTGTATGTGTCCCTGGGTACTTGAGATTAAGAGAATGGTGATGACTTTTCACAAGCATACTGCCTTCAGGCACTTGTTTAACAAAGCACACCCTGCACAGCCCAAAATCCTTTAAACCTTGAGTCACCACAGCATGTCTCTTGCAAGGACAGGGTTGGGGGTAGGGTTACAGATTAACAGCATCTCAAATACAGAACAAAATGGAGTCTCTTACGTCTACTTCTTTCTATATAGACACAGTAACAGTCTGATCTCTCTTTCTTTTCCCCACACACAGTACTCATCGCATGTGGATCAACATTCCCCCATCCTCACCTCTCAGCTTGCCAACAAGTTACAGACTCTTAGAGTAGAAAAGGCCTTAGAAAAATCTTGTTTCCATTTCCAGGTGTGCTTTGTAAGGTGGAGTTGTTATTAATATTTAACACAGCTATTTGTCCTTCATTTCCAAAGCAATTACTCCCTCAGGTGTGCATCTGTGCTGAGACCTGAAAAACCATTAGGAGAAGGGGGAGGGTTGCATCACAGCTTCACGACTTAGAATTTGATATTACGTGTCCTTTGTCTTTGATATCCTGCGGCCACTCTGCTGTGTTCCCAACTGGCCCTCCCCACTGCCTATGCTTCCTTCTCTGCTGGTTCAAAGAAAATAAGATCCTCCTAATTTTAGAATGCAGGAACACTTACCAATTTCAGGCCCATGAGTGTCTCTCTTTGAACTCTGAGTTATTTATTAAACAAACTGTGACTGCATTGGCCGTGCCATTTTTTCCGTCATCACCAGACTTCACAAGGTAAAGGAGTCTTATAGATGTTTCCTTAACCTCAAAAATAAATTATCCCACCTTCCAACTACTTACTAAGCAAAACTGACTAAAATCCGATGGGATTCTAGTTAACATTGTTTTCCTCTACATTTCACATATAAGAAGTGACCACTTAGATGCTTTTCTCCCTCCCTCTGAAACTAGGCCTCATAAAACTTAGAAACTAGGCCTCATATAGAAAAAAATTAACACCAGGTGGCTCTGGATAGGGTCCCACCCTGCCTCGATAGGGTCCCACCCTAATAGGGTCCCACCCTGCCAATTCCGGGAAACAACCTCATAGGGTCCCACCCTGCCAATTCCGGGGGTCCCACCCTGCCTCGAAGTTCCCGGAAACAACAACTCCAGAAAAAAAAACCTCATAAGGTCCTGCTCTAACCAATTAGCATAAGACACCTTGCTCAGGCCATAGACAGACCCAATTACCACGCGCCTAAAGCTTTGTTTGAATTTCGCGCCCTAAGCTGTGTTTGAACTTGTATTTGCCTATATAAACAGCCTGTAACAAGCAGTCGGGGTCCCAGGGCCAACTTAGAGCTTGGGACCCTAGCGCGCTAGTAATAAATAACTCTCTGCTATGAATCTCGTGTTGGTGATCCTTTGCGGCGACCCCTGCCCAGGAGGGAATCGACAGTTCGGTTCCAACATTTGGTGCATTGGCCGGGAAGTGGGGTCGTCCGAGGACCCCCGACCCATCCGGCGGAGACCCATCTGGCCCGGGCCACGGACTGCTGACTGAACGGACCTACCAGGTACTTTCGTTTTGTTCTGTCTGTCTTGCCGGCTAACTCTGAACTCTGGGGAGTACTCCTTCTGAATTAAGTGGGGAAGGGGGACAGACGTGTCCGGCACCTTTCCACTTTCGCCCTGGGGGACGCCCTGGCGGTAGTCTGGGAGAAGGCTAATGACTCGGTCAGCCTCCTCAAATCTGTAGGCAGGTCGCCCCTGCCGTCTGAATATTTTGTAATCTTGTGGCGCTACTCTCTGGCCGCGCGGCTTCTCCTTACTTGTCTGGTCTTTGTTTTTGTTACTTTTGTTTTGTCCTTGTTATACGTGGATGAAATAAGACAGACGTTGACGACTCCTTTGTCTCTGACCCTGACTCACTTCCCTGATGTTCGGGCTCAAGCCCACAACCTCTCCATAAAAGTCCGTAAAGGACAATGGCGAAAATTCTGCTCGTCCAAGTGGCCTACCCTCCATGTTGGGTGGCCCCGGGACGGAACATTTGACCTCCCAATTATCTTACAGGTTAAAGCAACAGTGATGGATCCTGGGCCACTTGGACACCCGGACCAGGTGGCCTACATAATTATTTAGGAGGATCTGGTCCGAAATCCTCCCTCTTGGGTGAAACCCTTCCTCCATTCCCCTTCCCCATCCCAATCTACCCTCCTTGCCTTAGAAGCCCCAAAGAATCGGAATCCGGACCCGCATAAGCCAGTCCTCCCAGATGAACCCCAGAGGGACCTCCTCCTTCTCGACCCCCTGCCTCCTCCACCTCAAAACCCCCTTTGGGGACCTCCACCTTACGCTTCACCCTTGCCCCCTGTCTTGTCCCCAGCTCTTTCCTCTACCGCCTCGACCCCTACCCTTTCTCCAACTTCTCCCTCGGCCCCTCCCTCCACCCCGTCTCCTCCTCCAGCCCCGCCCAAACTCACCCCTCGGACGCCGACGCCGACACCTCCTCGTCTCCGCTTGCGGCGGACTGAGGACCCAGAAGGCCCTTCCACTTAGCAATCCTCCCTTTTTCCCCTCCGTACTGTCAGTCACACAGTCCAGTACTGGCCCTTCTCTGCCTCTGACCTCTATAACTGGAAGACCCATAACCCTTCCTTTTCCCAAGACTCTCAGGCCCTAACCTCGTTAATAGAATCCATTCTCCTCACCCACCAGCCCACCTAGGATAATTGCCAGCAACTCCTGCAGGTCCTCTTAACCACTGAAAAAGGCAGCGGGTCCTCTTGGAGGCCCGGAAAAATATGCCAAGACCAGGAGGCCTCCCAACCCAACTTCCCAATAAAATAGACGAGGGATTTCCCCTCACCCGCCCGGACTAGGACTATGAAACGGCACCAGGTAGGGAGAGTCTCCAAATCTATCGCCAGGCTCTGTTGGTGGGTCTCAAAGGGGCAGAAAAACGCCCCACAAATTTGGCCAAGATAAGAAAGAAACCCCTAAGGAAAGGGAAGCCAGGTTAGCGAAGGAACAGATAGAGCGAGAGGATCGTAAGAACCGAGTAAAGGATAAGCATTTAACAAAAATCCTGGCGGCAGTTGTGAGAAAGAAAGGACCAGGGAGAGAGGGAAAGAAGCGGAGGCGGCCAAAAGTAGAAAAAGACCAGTGTGCCTACTGCAAAGAACAGGGGACTCGCGGAGGCGTTAAGGACGAAAGAGGGCACGGCCAACTCCTGGGGGGACGGCAGGCCGAGAGCGCAGCGCCCGGGCCTGGCACCAAGCCTGAGCCCGCCAGACAGGAGGCGGCCCCGCCGCGGGCTCGGCTCCGGCCCCAGCCCCGCCAGCATGGCCGGCCGGACCGTACGGGCCGAGACCCGGAGCCGGGCCGAAGATAACATCAAGAAGGTAATGGCGACCATCGAGAAGGTCCGGAAATGGAAGAAGCAATGAGTGACTGTAGGCGACACTTCCCTTTGTATCTTCAAGTGAGTGCCAGTGGTGGACCCCCAGGAGGAGGAGCGAAGGCGGGCAGGTGGCGGGGCAAAGAGATCCCGTGGCCGGGAACGTCGGGGCAGGGGCACCAGTCCCCGAGGGGGTGGCCCTCTCATCCTGCTGGATCTCAATGATGAGAACAGCAACCAGAGTTTCCATTCAGAAAGTTCCCTGCAAAAAGGCACAGAGCCCAGTCCTGAGGGCAGCCCCCAGCCCAGCCGCCCTGTGTCACCTGCCGGACCCCCAGAAGGGGTCCCTGAAGAGGCTCAGCCCCCACGGCTAGGCCAAGAGAAAA